CCGTTTTGATTAACTTTATACCCCAGGAAATCGATGTTTCGATTGACAAACCTACACTTTTTTAAATTTATCTCTAAATTTTGCTCGCTAAACCGAATGCATAGTCTTTTTAATATATCCATGTGTTCTTCAACTGTTTTAGTCGCTACTAATATATCATCCATGTACACTACAATGCTTTTGTTCCTAATAAAGTCTCTCAAGAGCTCCGAAATAAATCTTTGAAAAATAGCGGATCCATTTTTTAACCCAAAGGGCATTCTCAAGTACTCATACTGTCCTTGCGGTGTCACAAACGATGTATACGGAACTGATTTTTCTTCTACGCCTATTTGATGATACCCGCTTTTCAAATCTATAATGGAAAAACAGCACTTGTTTTCTAAAAACTCAAGACAGTCCTCAATAAGGGGCAATGGGAAATTATCTTTAACAATTCGTTTGTTCAGACCACGGTAATCGACACACATTCGAAGTTCTCCTGATTTTTTTTTTACTAGGACCAACGGGGAAGGAGACTTACTATGACGGATTACTATCTTTTCTAACAGATCATCTACTATTTCAGCTACTTTCTCTCTCTCATGGTAGGATAAACGACGCGGAGTACAATGAAATGGTGTTGTTTCTGTTACACGAATCTGCATCTGATACTTTGGTGGTGCTTTAAAGTCAAATTCTTTGTGTAAATAGTATGTCTTAATAACTTCCCTACACTTTTCTGCAATAGTGGGGCCAAATTCGAAACCTACGTTAATATGTCCCTCTTCATCAATCTCTACCGACGCACAAAAGTTACTGAATTCGTCGCCTTGATTCATATTCTCGATGACAATTTTGTCATTCCTTGAGTTTTCTTGTGTCTGATTTTTAAATGGATTAGAACGTTTGATTAGCTCGCTTCTTTCTGATTGATTACCGTCTAACTTATCATATAGTCTTATGTTAATATTATTTTTACTTTCGGTGAATAAAGACGCGCAGGTTAAACTAATAGCTTTTTGCTTTAACGAACTTAATGGTGTGTGTTGCTTCGCATTGATATTTTTCTTATGAACTAATTTTACTTCAATAACTTTAAGGGCATCGCGTCCCAACAATACCGGCAAAGGCAGCATGTTATCATCTACGATGTTTAATAAAACGATATATTTCTTTGTGCAAAATTCAATATGGCACTTAAATTTTCCCCATATGGGAATTGGTTGTCCTCCTAGTCCATAGTATTTCCTAACTTCATTATAGGCTTCAACTATAGCCGACTTCGGTATCAAAGACTTATGAATAAAACTTACAGGGCTACCTGTATCAAATAGACTAAAAATACTGACGACTCTTTGTTCACCAAACGGAAGTCATAAAGTGATTAACTGGACAGCCGCTAAATAGTCGTTGTTTTTTTCTCCTGGTCGCTCCTCATCTTGAACTGCAGCTACCCTAGTGGCCATCTTTCGTTTCGGGCACTGCGAATATAGGTGGCTGGTACTCCAACAGTTAAAACATGCCCCATCCGGTCTCTTTGGCTGACTGCATTCCTTCATAACGTGCCCAAATTGCCGACAGTTGTAGCAACGCATTGCGCCACCACCTTGCTGCTGCCCAACTGCCATACTCACATTTAGTTTTCCCTTTGTCATACCTTCGCTACGAATTGCTACGACGCCAGGAGCTCTTCTGACCTTATCATAGGTGACCATCTTGTCACGCAACTCGTTGAGTGTGATGCAGTATAGCATGGATGCTGCCATGCCCGTCTTGTCCTGCAGTCCCTCTACGATGAATTTGACCACATCGCTCGTGGCCATGTCTGCTTGCGACGCTATGCTGCACATTGCGACGAAATATTGCAATGCGCTTTGATTATTTGCAATTTTCCGTGCCTCCAGTCGCTTTCCAATGTCCCACGCTGTCACTTTCTGCTCAAAGACGTTGAGCAATTCTGCTCGCATCAATTGCCAAGTCAAAGGCGCCACATGGTCGATGTACGCCTTCGCCGCTCCGCCTAGCAGCCGCTTCGCTAATATCCAGCATTTTGACTCGGATACACCATGGAAATTCATAATGTCCTCAAAGTTACTTATCCAACTGGTTACAGCCTGGTCGTCATCTCCAGAAAATGGACGCATCAACGCCTCAATGTGTGTCAAGTCGATGCAATCTCTCGGCGTTTCCCACTCCATAGCCTCTTTCTCCGTTTTCAATATGCTTAATTTGAGATCAGCTAAGCGCTTGCGAGAAACGTACAATTGTTCCAACTGCTGCAAACGGCGCGATTCTTCTTCGTATTCATCTGATCGCATGGTCAATTTCGAACAGGCGTTGTCTTGTCGCGGCATGAATGCTTCTCGAGCCTTCTGCACATTTTCACCATGTTCTTCTGGCGCCGCTTTTACTGCGTGTTGTGCACTACGGTTGTCTCTATCTATCTCGCGCTCAACCGGGACTGCAAAAATGTCTGCCTGCATAGTCTCGTCTGCGCTTGGCGCCGTATTTCCTAGCTCATGCGTGTCTTCCATGATTTTTTTCACTGCTGTACGTAATTGGTGTATGTTGGCATCTTGATCAAAATATACGTTTTGCCTACGCAATATGTCGCTAAGTTCACTTTTGGTTTTCGCTCTTATGTCTGCATAGTTCATCGCAGAGTTTTATTTATTTTTATACCCGATACTCAAAATGAGTATTGGGGTATATTAGATTTGTGGTAAAAGTGGATGTGTGTAACGTCCAGAAGGAATCGTTTCCGACCCTATAAAGTATATATATTCTTCATCAGCATCAATAGCCGAGTCGATTGAGCCCTGTCTGTCTGTCCGTCCGTCCGTCTGTCCGCCTGTCCGTCCCCTTCAGCGCCTAATGCTCAAAGACTATAAGAGCTAGAGCAACGATGTTTTGGATCCAGACTTCTGTGATATGTCACTGCTCCAAAAATATTTCAAAACTTTGCCCCGCCCACTTCCGCCCCCACAAAGGGCGAAAATCTGTGGCATCCACAATTTCGACGATACAAGAAATCTAAAAACGCAGAATCGTAGAAGATGACTATATCTTCTAGAGTGCAAAATCTGAAGCAGATCGTATAATTATTATAGCCAGAATCACGAAAACAATTTCACTCTTTCTCGCTCTGTCTCACTCTAACACACAGGTTTCATGGTCGGTTTTGCCAATTGCAAAATATGAGTTCAAGGATCTCAGAACCTATAAAAGCCAGAGCAACCAAATTTGGTATCCACACTCCTAATATATCGGACCGAGATGAGTTTGTTTCAAAATTTCGCCACACCCCCTTCCGCCACCGCAAAGGATGCAAATCTGGGGATATTCACAAATCTCAGAGAGTATTAAGGCTAGAGTAACCAAATTTAGTGTCCGTACTCCTGTTAGATGTCACTATAAAACGTATATCTCAGTATTTCGCCCCACCCCCATCCGCCCCCACAAAGGACGAAAATCTGTTGCATCCACAATATTGCAGATTTGAGAAAACTAAAAACGCAGAATCATAGATAATGACCATATCTATTAGATTGCTGAATCTGGATCAGATCAGATCATTTTTATAGCCAAAAGGAACAAATCAATTTGCAGTGGCTACGCAGCGCCCGACGTCACGCTCAGACTGATTTTCTGTCTCTCTCGCACGCACTCTTTGTCGTGTCGTTAAATATTAGCGGCGTCTGCCGGAGCAGAGCCATACTGACTTAGTATCGGGTATAACCGTAGAGTTGCGGTGTCCGCAGCAACTCACAACGTTCCCCCTCGTTTTTTTTTTTTTGGGCAAACCCCACACCTGATATGTAAACTTTTAATAGCACGGTTTTATTATATGTTCTTCTGTCTTCATTGTCGTATATCAATTAATGTGTGTTGGCATATCGATACTTGTCGAGGACAAGTATCGATATATCGAGTACATTGGTATTTCTTATAATACTATCGATGAGTAACTCTTAAACTAATATTCAAATCTTATAAACTAATATTCATATCTTACAATTGGGTAGAACTCTTTTAGAGAGTGTGGACATGAAGGTAACAAGAGATGGAACAGCACTAGTCCTCAGATCAGGAAGTCAAGTAAGTACTAGGCGCAATGTTCCAGAACATAGAGATGAAAGGGAAAATGTTAATTCATGTACGGAGTTGCTGAATGAGTTTCAGAGTTTGTGTATGGTGAACTTAGAGCAGAGTGAAGCTATTAATATTGATTTGTCACATTTGCCCTATTCAGAGAGAGATCAAATAAGAAAGATAATTGAGGAATACAAGCCGAGTCGAAATGTGATTTGCCCTATAGAGATGAAGTTAGTACCAAAGAAGAATGGACAGAAACGTCTATGCTGCGATTATCGCAAGTTAAATGAGAAAATAGTGAGAGATAACTTTCCGAAGGTACAGATGCAGGATGTTATTGAGAAATTGCAAGGAGCTTTGATTTTTACGACATTAGATTTGACTAACGGTTATTTCCACGTACCAGTTGAAGTTCAGTCACAAAAGTATACATCATTTGTAACGCAGAAAGGACAATATGAGTTCCTATTTGTACCGTTTGGGATTTCGAATTCGCCAGCAATCTTCACACGTTTCATAGTTGCAGTAATGAGAGAATTGGTTCAGAAGGGTGACGCTGTAGTATATATGGATATATATAACGAGGACAGCTCGGAGTCTCTTCTCAGGGCTCAGGCGAAGGAAATGGTGACAGGTCCGCAGCGGATGAACTCCTCGGCAGACCCGGCAACGGTACGAGTTGATCCCTCGATCACGACGGCTCTCCGTGGTGCGGCTGGCGCGGATCCGTGGGGCCATGTCTGGATGAGGATGGAACTAGGATGGAATAGAGAAGTCGAAGAAGTATTAGTGCGGAACTGTGAATGGGACAAGTGCACATTCACGTTATTGTTGGATGGAACTACGGGGTTCTACTGGCAGGAGAACGACCTTTACAACCGGTCTTTTGAGGGTACCGCCCGTGTTGAGCTCCCTCTGGACAGGCGGCGCTTCTCCGGACAGCCGCGGAGACTACTACGACGGCCCGCACGAAGAGTATTCCGACGGCCGCTACGATGGCGACTACGAGGGCGACTACTCGATGCCCACCGAGGAGGACCAAGACGAGGAGTCGTGTTCCTGTCAGAGCCAGAGCGAGTTCAGCTCGATAGAGCGCACCGAGTCGGACTCGGAGTGGGAGGAGCTCTCCGACGGCCCTTCCCCCAGGGTCTCCCCGCTGGAGTCCCTCGGCGCAGTCGTGCTCTCCACAATGCAGCCGGAGCACCGTCAGCGCATGATGGCCTTGTACCACCTCGTCTTGGAGACCGCTGTGGTCAAGGTCGTGCTGCTGGTGCTGCAGATGCTGTGCTGCGCGGTGTTCTGGCTGGTCGAGAAGACCGTGGGCGTCAACGAAACCGTCGGCTCCGATTGTGGAACAGCAAGTTCAAGCTGCGCACCATCCAGCGCCAGTTGCTGTGGCGCATGGCCAATGCCCGGGGCGACGAGACGCTCGTCTTCTTTGCCGTGCTCATGACCACGCCCTGGCTATTCTCCCTCAGCCTCCTGGGATTCATCCTGTCCGGCGCTCCTGAAGAAGACCGTCGAGGAGCTGGTGTTCCAGATACGCCTGCACCTCGTGCTCTAGGGGGCAGCCATCGACCAGAAAGCAGCAAGCAGTATCCAATCTCACACTGACAGAAGACAAACGTCCACACGCCCGACACTCCACCCCTCCCCTCAGAGATGTTTGCACTTCCTTTTAGTCATCTATTTTCGTTGATGCCAGAATCGCAATGCACGGAATCGTCTCCGTTTTTGGCCGCAATGAGAAGTTTTGAAATATTTTTGTGGCGTTGTGGGGTGGTGTGGGTAGAGCCGAAATATTCGAAATTCAAAGTCAAATTCAAACACAAGAGTTTCCAGTCGATCAGATATATCGTTTCTGCATATTACGATCCGTTCCGTTTGGACGGGAGGCCACTTGCTCATCCCTCATCCCCGTGATTGCATTTATTATTATTATTTTTAATTCGCTGCATATTTGTTCTGCAATTTATTCAATGATAAACGGAGGAGGAGAGCATGCAGCAGCAGCGAAACATTTCCGCTGCAGCAGCGGTTGTGGCAGCCGTGGGGCCTTTGTTGCCGCCAATTGCACGCCCCCGCATACGCACTTCGGAGGCACGGAATCCACCAGAAGCGGCAGCAAATGAATCATTAAATATTCACTGTACTCGTGTCGATTCGGTGATCAGTGATCAAAATAACACAACAAAAGCGTCATCATCCACGTTCCACGATCCTCGACCTATGATCCCTGATCCAGAATCCGTGGAAGCATCCATTTTCAGGGCTCTCTTGGGCGCTGGTTGGGATACGCCTCCGATTTCAATCCCTTGCCACACGGGCAGCCCGAGCAAGCCCCGATATGTAAACAGGGTCAACACTACCTGTGCGAAGGGGGCCAAGGGAGGCGCCGGCACTTCTTGGGATCCGAATACCGAACCGATTGCATAAGACTCGGCCCGGAAGTGGACTTTCCACTTTCACCACAAATCTAATATACCCCAATACTCATTTTTTAGTATCGGGTATAAAAATTGCAAGCAGAGATGCAAAAAAAAAAACAAAAGAGGGAGAAAATCCCTAATGCAGTCATCGACTGCGATACAAAGTCTGGCGCTTACGTAAATTTACGTATAAAATATGTTCTATGTAAATAATCAACCATTTTTTTTTTCGGTTTTATTTGCCGATCTTTTTCTGACATGATAATTATAGTACAAGAACGAAGAATACAATAAGTATAGGTAATGGAAGAGATTACTTGGAATTTTGTATTTTTATACCCGATACTCAAAATGAGTATTGGGGTATATTAGATTTGTGGTAAAAGTGGATGTGTGTAACGTCCAGAAGGAATCGTTTCCGACCCCATAAAGTATATATATTCTTGATCAGCATCAATAGCCGAGTCGATTGAGCCCTGTCTGTCTGTCCGTCTGTCCGTCTGTCCGTCTGTCCGTCCCCTTCAGCGCCTAATGCTCAAAGACTTTAAGAGCTAGAGCAACGATGTTTTGGATCCAGACTTCTGTGATATGTCACTGCTACAAAAATATTTCAAAACTTTGCCCCGCCCACTTCCGCCCCCTCAAAGGGCGAAAATCTGTGGCTCCACATTTTTAAAAATACGATAAAACCAGAAACGCAGAATCGTAGAGAATGAACATATCTTTTAGACTGCAGAATCTGAATTGGATCGTATTATTATTATAGCCAGCATCAAGAAAACAATTTCATTTTTTCTCGCCCTGTCTCTCTCTAACACACACGTAGCATAGGCGGCTTTGCTTAGAGTAAAACATTAGCGCCTAGATCTCAGAGACTATAAAAGCTAGAGCAACCAAATTTGGTATCCACACTCCTAATATATCGGACCGAGATGAGTTTGTTTCAAAATTTCGCCACACCCCCTTCCGCCACCGCAAAGGATGCAAATCTGGGGATATTCACAAATCTCAGAGAGTATTAAGGCTAGAGTAACCAAATTTAGTGTCCGTACTCCTGTTAGATCTCACTATAAAACGTATATCTCAAAATTTCGCCCCACCCCCTTCCGCCCACACAAAGGACGAAAATCTTTTGCATCAACAATATTGCAGATTCGAGAAAACTAAAAACGCAGAATCATAGATAATGACCATATCTATCAGATTGGTGAATCTGGATCAGATCAGATCATTTTTATAGCCAAAAGGAACAAATCAATTTGAAGTGGCTACGCAGCGCCCGACGTCACGCTCAGACTGATTTTCTGTCTCTCTCGCACGCACTCTTTGTCGTGTCGTTAAATATTAGCGGCGTCTGCCGGAGGAGAGCCATACTGACTTAGTATCGGGTATAACCGTAGAGTTGCGGTGTCCGCAGCAACTCACAACGTTCCCCCTCGTTTATTAGTTGAATTTGTGAGTAAAGCGCTTGTCGAATAGTTATTTGTAAGAGCTAATATCTCGTGGCTTCAAAGTCTTAACTTATTAGCAAACTTAAACATGTCTGGTCGGCGAAAAGTCATTGAATACAAGAAAACCATACTGGATCTAAATATAGGAAAGACAAAACACGACTATTAGCATCTTACATTTAACTATTCTGAAACAGTCGTTGTGGCTTCTTCCTTAAGCTCTTCAGGTTCATCCAGATTCCTTCCTTCATTCAACTGATCCTGCTGGACATCTACTGACGACTGCTTTTGTTCGCTTGGAGCTCGTGACTGCCGGGTTCGTAGAAGACTATCGAGTCCGCCAAAAGGAGCCTCAATGATAACATAAAGCACATACGACATCAAAATAGTGATCCCAATGACAGACCAGAAATTAAGCATCTGCAAAGCATAAAATATTATACATTTGATATAATCCACTAGTTTCTATCAACTATCCAAAACAAAACTTACAAAGTTGTAGTTCGAAAAATATGTATTGGTCCGTAGAACTCTGCTGTTTACTTCCAGAGTGAAGAGAGGCTGCCCCAATGGCGAGGATAGGAAACTGTCTGCCAGACCGCCATGGCCCTGCATGCAGGCAAAGATGATCCAACACAGCGCTAGGGGCCAGCCCACCTGGGTAAGCGTGTAGTAGAGAGACTCCTCGAGTATGGTTAGAGGAGGAGCCCTAAACTTGGATGCGGGATACATGGCAAAGATTGAGGTGAAGATCATGGCCAGGCTAAGCAGCCGTCTAGACCACACGATAATCCGGCTTAGCTGGAACTTCCTTCCACGATTAAGGTGCAAGAAGTACCCGAAGAGAAATTTAGTCAGCCATGGACCCGCATGCCTGTGTGTGGATCCATAGACATCCAAACCATCACCTCCTTTACTTCCATTCCTGAATTAAATGAGGCTTAATAACTTCAAATGCAAATAGAAAGATCGTGGACTTACTTAGTGAGCATTGATTCATTGTTGACCATCATCGTGACAAAGAGGCAGGTCGTGACTACAAGCAACAGCACTACAATGCCAGCAGCTGCCTTTTTGCCCCATTTATACAGAGCAATCAGCAGAAGCGGAGAGATTATGTATAGTTGCATATCCACTGCCAAGTACCAGGCATGACCTAAGCACTTAAAAAAGGTAATCATATCAATTGGTAGGAGCTAGGATCTATGACTTACAGCATTGCTTGTTGCATAATTCTGCACGAACAGCAGCGTCCAGAATCAGCCCTTTAATGTTTAATGTTTAATGTTTAGAGTTTAACTGTGGACAGTTAAACTGTGTAAAAATAGGAATGTACAAATCATAAAATTATCTGCTACTGGAAAGTACGGCAACACAATACAAGGCCGAAAGAAGTTAACTTAAATTATTCTGTTCGGGCCAGCCGCTGAAGAATAACTGTAACTTTAACATTATTATTGTATGAGCAGAGAGAGCCGCCTATGTTGTAAAACATTGACTTTCTGCAGAGCTGCTGCGCTCTCCCGCTAAAGGGGCTCTCTGCCGCCGCCACTTCGGCCTAACGCCGAATCCGCCGCGGAAGTCGAGGTGCGCCTTGATATGTTGGCAGAAATTCGAGAGGAATTCAATAAGGCCCATAATGAATTGGAGGCTCTCGATCAAAACGAGATTGGGAGTGAGCTGCGCGAAATCTTCGATACTCTTTTCTTATCGTTGAAAGCTGAGTTGCTGGCTGCTGTTGAAGTAAGCCAGTCACATGCCGCTGCCCATTCTACGACTCTGCCAAGCCATTCCGGACATAGTACCATCATCATGGCTCACAAGCAGCGACTTCCTGTGCTGAAGGTGCCTAAGTTTTCTGGTGGATACGTCGAGTTTTCGGATTTTATGGCAATGTTCGAATCGGTGATTGAAGCGGATGCGGATCTCAGTGACATCGAGAAATTCCAGCACCTTCGCTTTGCCTTGCTGATGCGGCTTTGGATTCGGTTCGATCGTTGGAGCTCTCCAGTGCCAATTATCGTGCGGCTCTGGATATACTTAATAAACGCTTTAATAAGAAAAGACTTGTTTTCCAGGCACACATCAAGAAGATTATTAGGCTAAAGAGGGTAGACTCGCCTACTGGTAAAAGGCTTCGGGAGTTTTCGGATGCAGTCAATTTACACATGCGAGCGTTGCAGACATTGGGAACTGCTGAGGAGATTTCAGGATTCATGGTCATCAACATGCTGCTGCAGAAGTTGGATTCGAAGACGCAAACCAAATGGGAGGAGCACACATCGTCGGATGCTATACCTACCGCAGACGAATTCTTCGAACTCTTGCAGCAACGCTGCCAGAAAATGGAGCGATTGGAATATGCTACAGCGACACACGCTAGTAGCGATCAGGTGGGAAAAAACCATTCCTATACGCAGATTAAACGAGGGGGAACGTTGTGAGTTGCTGCGGACACCGCAACTCTACGGTTATACCCGATACTAAGTCAGTATGGCTCTCCTCCGGCAGACGCCGCTAATATTTAACGACACGACAAAGAGTGCGTGCGAGAGAGACAGAAAATCAGTCTGAGCGTGACGTCGGGCGCTGCGTAGCCAGTGCAAATTGATTTGCTCCTTTTGGCTATGAAAATGATCTGATCTGATCCAGATTCAGCAACCTGATAGATATGGTTATTATCTATGATTCTGCGTTTTTAGTTTTCTCAAATCTGCAATATTGTGGATGCAAC